CCTCAGCAACAAAGCAGAGCGGTGCACATGGGGGCAGCGTGTGCTGCTCAAAACCAGAGCCAGGTCAGCCAGAACCACACTGGCCATTGGCTGGGCTCCAAGTAGCAGGATCACTGCTGCTGCAGCCCCTGGAGGCCCCCAGGACACCAGGTAAGTCCACTGGGGCCAGCCCAGTGCTGGACCCAGCCTCTCCTACCCCACCTGGGGTAACCTGCCGCATGCCAAAGGATATGTGGCACAGGCATTCCCCAGGGACAACTAGCAGTGGCATAAGGTCCTGGGGAACCAAACATCCATGCTCATGTGGACACAGCCTTAGGGGGCAACCTGCTACAGGGAGCCATTCAGTTCTATCTGTAGTGAAACTTTTTATTTGGATACAGGTCCAGTAGAAAGTCATGCAAGACCCCTTAACCTAATGTTACAGACACAATCTAATAACTGTCATAAACTGCCTACCATGTCATCGCAGCTGGGTAAAATTAAACTAGCAAATTGGGAATTCAAGTTCTATCTCCCTATAGCCATGAATGTGTGTCCTCATGGAAGAACAGTCAGTCTGATTCTTACAACGCCTGGCACTCAGGAATCTCAGACTAGTTGCATTGCACTGCCCAAAACAGTAGGTGATTCTCAACATGCCTATGATTTAGCCCCATTTTACTGATGTGGAAGCTGAGTTATAACGTGAAAGTAAATGCTGTAAGGTTACGCAGTGACTCAGTGCAATACTAGAACCCAGGAGGCTCCGGGACTGGAAGAGCCCTGGACTGCATTTCCTTTTATTTATAGATGCAAGCAAAAGAAGGGGGCTACATGCCTGTCTCTTCAATCAACAAATCACATGAAAGCTGTGAGCACAGGGCACAGTTTGTGTAGATCTGGTCCACACCCAGTTTGCAATGTGAAGTTGTATCTGTTTATTTCCTAGCCATATAGACTGTGATATTGCTCGTAGTAGTATCATCTCTGAGTCTGCTACTTAGCTTGGAAAGGACAGACTCAGGTGGCTAAGCCAGGCATCAATCAGCCTGTCTTTCTTTTTAGCAGTTTTCCAGTGCCCCGACCTTCAGCAACTGCAGTTCCTCCGACATTGGCTTGCTCCTCACAGCATATTTCTTTGATGAGCTAGAATGGCACATGACCCACACTGATGTGGCCAGTGGCCCTGGAAAAGATAGCTGTGTTTTACAAATGCATACAACCCACATGAATAACCAAGAGAAGTAAAGTCAATATGCAGAGCAAACTCCACAGTTATTCCACTAGAAGTGGGGTTGTGTTTGGGAAACTTGAGCTGCAGTCATAACTTCCCGCATTATGCATTTGCCTGGCAGCAAGCAGATTGTATTTTATCATCTGAATGTATTCATTATACTATCAGTAGTAACAAAGAACATTGCTGCTAATAATGGAGATCTATAACATTCTTACATAAGATCCCATTGTAATTCAGCCATAATCAATGTACTATTACCAGAGTGCTATGAATTTCTGTGCCCCTCTATTCACAGAGGGAATGAGATTTAATGTTTCTGTAGTCGCATCAACAAAATGAAAAGGATGTCACTGAAAAGAACCACTGCTCTCTATATATCCCATTTGGCTCAGCTGACACCTTTCCTATCTTCCAAGTTAACACATGTTCTCTGACTAGGAGGGTAATCTCTATGGGTGCTATAAGCCCAGTTGCACAACTGCCTCAGTTACATGATTGTCTCTTTATGTAGCTCTAGCAGGACTGAGTGGCCTGAAGGTGGATATAAATTTTGCCCCTCCTATACTCCAGGATAGATGTGAAGGGGCATAATGTGAACAAGTATCATGCCTTCTTATGTTTAAGGAAATACTTCATATTAATTACTACTAGGAAAGCCAAGGGTAGCGTTCAGACAGGCCCCAGCCATGTATGTCTTACTCCATCATCCAGTATTTTCTCTAGTGGGAGAAAGGATTAAAGCACTTGACCAAGAGGCAGGAGATGTGGGTTCCCAACTCTACCAGTGGCTGAAAGATGCACATGAGGTGACAACTTGACCCTTAATCTCTCTGTACTTCTCTTTTCCCATCTGTGAAATGGAATTAGTCACCCACCGACAGATGCACAGACCTTGCATTGCTTTGAAGGGGAGTACAGAATGGCAACTTATTTTCACTCTGTTATCCCATCCCCAATATGTATGCTTCTAAAATGGCTTTGTAATATATTTGAGCCAGCCTCCCAAAGCTGCTGTCCTGTTCTCACTGTTAATATTGGATCCCTCAGAGACTCAGGACACCTGTTTGTAGAGAATGATAATTGCATTGTTCATCCCAAAGGCTGGGATACAAACACCTCAACTTCTCTGCAAGGCAGCCAAGCCTGGCCTGGAGGAGGCAACAGGAAGGGGAAGTTTCTGTTTTGATCCACAGGGGCAAGGTACAGCCAGGTCCACCCTGCAGTTGGTGGGGAACAGGTTACTCATGAACAAGACTTAAGCAGGTCTTGCTGGAAAGGTAGTGACATATTTCTCCTAGGCAACATGTTTGAAGATACAAGAGCCATCATGCTTTCCATTCTCACCCAGCAACCTCATCCACCTGTCTAAGAGAGCAGCAGCACTACAAGCTGCAGGGCTGGCAGCCCATGGGGTGCAAAAGCAGTTACCCTGTACCAAACCTGGAGTCAAGGTGGTGGTGGGGGGGGGTCTATAAAAAGCACAAGCTGAAAATTTGAAAGCCAATCTGCTCAGCCCTGCCAGGGCACTCAGCCCAGCACCTCATGTCATGACCAACCAAACTGTGAGGCTGGTGAATGACCTGGAGCATCAGTAGTGGCATCTGGCCTCTGCTTTTTGCTTTCTTGAGATCATTTAACATAAATGTTGGTATCATGAGAGATGTAGTTAGCTATGGTAGTCTGAAGACAAGCAGAAGGCAGGACAGATTTGCATCTTATAGACTAAATATGTATCTCTAATTAGGTAGTCTATAAGGTAAGGTTAGGTATTTGACCAGTCAAATATAGGTAAAAAATTGAAAAAAAAAATGCCAAGAGGTTCAAATTTTAAACATGGATTTGCTGCTGTAGCCCCGCAGGCAAGACCCAGCGCAGCTGGGAACAACGGGGTCATGCTGGGATCTCCTTGCCCCCCACCGCGCCTCCTGCACCTGCCACTGCTCTGGGTGGCAGAGTCCCGTGTCGCTTCCTTCAGTGCAGTCCCTCATGCAGGAGGTGCATCACTGGGGCAGCATGGAGCAAGCAGCCACTACGAGATCCCTGAGCAGCTTCTCTGTCCCCAGCTGCACCAGGTCACAGGGCAGCAGGGATCTGCTCTGCCTTTCCCCCTCTGTCTCCCCCTCCCCCTGCCCCTCCGGGCAGGGTTCAGGCTTTCCTGCCCTTTTTGCAAACAGCTCTTGCAGGCTGGAACTCAGCCAGCCTGCAGAGCTGTTTGCAAAAGGGGAAAATCCGTAGGTTTCTCTGGTAAAAGAGAAAATTCACATTTTCTCTGATAAAACCAGGACATCCATGGTTTTCTCTGTTTTTCCATGGGAAACAGAAAACATGGATCCCTGGTTGTCAGACCGGTATTGGCTGATATGGCTAATTAATAATCAGCTATTGGTATCAGCCAAGAAAATCTTTATCAGTGCACCCCTAATAAATGTTGGTGTCATGAGAGAAGTAGTTAGTTGTACTTGCTAGTCTGAAGGCAAGTAAAAGACAGGTTAGATTTGCATCTTATAGACTAACTAAATATATATCTCTAATTTAGTTAGTCTATAAGGTAGGGTTAGGTATTTAACCTGTCAAATAAAGTTTGGTCAATTGACCAGTCAAATATCAGTAAAAAATTGTAAAAAAAATGCCAACAGGTCCAAATAATCACAGAAAAAGTACAAATTTTCCATTAAAAATGTTTCAAAAACAAAAAAAATCATTTTTAGGTCAAACTGCAAAAAATGTAGGGTTTTTTGTAAAATTGCTATAATCTTTGGCCAGTTAAAAATATGCAGTCAACTTACAACATTTGACTGGTCAACTGACCAGCTTGCCATCCCTACTATAAGGTGCCAATCTACCCTGCCTTACATGAGTGAGTGGTGCCTCCTGAATCTGGGGGCACTTGCAGAAGCCGCTGACCCTGTCAGGTGGGGGCACCAACCCTACCGACAATATCACCCATCAGCCATGAGGGGGCCATCAGGGGGAGCACTGGCCCCATCAGGGAGGCACGTGCACCCCTGTGTACCCTCTACCAGTTGCCTATGCTACCTTATGATTGGTATCATGGCCAGGACTGCTGTCTGATCAGCTCAGGTTTCCTGTTTAAGAATAGCTCTGCAGC